CAAACTTCCCAGCCTCCTTAGCACTGTCAGGGGAAAACCACCTACTCAAGCCTCAGTAATGGTAGACCCTCCTCCCCTCCACCAAGCTCAATCATCTCAGGTTGACTTCAGACTGCTGAATGGCAGCCAGAATTTCAAACCAGTGGTTCTTAGCCTACTGGGCTCCATGGGAGTGGGACCCACTAAGTGAGACCACTTGGCTCCCTGGCTTCAGCCCTCTTTCCAGGGGAGTGAATGGTTCTATCTTGCTAGGGTTCCAGGTGTCACTGGGATATGAAAAAAAAAAACTGCAGATAGCGCAGTGTCTGCCTGAACAGACGCCAGGTTTTGTGCTTGAAACCCAGGGCCTTGGTGGTGTAGGCACACAGAAGAATCCCCTGATCTGCAGATTGTAAAAACTGTGGGAAAAGCATAGTAACCCAGCTGGGTAGCACGTCCCTCATGGCTTCCCTTGGCTGGGGGAGGGAGGTCCCCCAGCTCCTTGCACTTCCTGGGTGAAGTGAAGCCCCACCTGCTTCTGCTTGCGCTCCATGTGTTGGACCCACTGGCTAACCAATTCCAGTGAGATGAACCGGGCACCTCAGTTGGAAATGCAGAAATCATCTGCCTTCTGTGTTGGTCTCACTGGGAGCTGCAGATCAGAGCTGTTCCTATTTGGCCATCTTGGGCCCTCCTCCATAATATTTCTCTTTAATGATTGTTTTGAATGTTTTTTTTTTAAGCAACTTTTAATTTTACAGTAATTCTAAGTTTACAGGAAAATTTCAGACATAGCTCAGTTTCCTCATACTCCCCATTAGTGCCCCCTATTGTTAACAGTTTACATTAGAATGGTCTCTTTGTCCACAAAAAATGAACCAATTTTGATTTGTCTATTATTGGTAACTACACTCCACACCATATTCAAATTTCATTAGTGTCTTATTTAACATTGTCTGGAGGAGAACTTCCAGGGCAACACATTGTTTTTACTCATCATATCTCCTTACCCTCTTCTGGGCTGTGGCAGTTTCTCAGACTTTCTTGATGTGGTACTCTCCCCTTTTCCCCTAGGGATGTAGCTTCCTGAGAGCCAAGTTGCAGTGTTTCTTATTTCCCTTCTGGATCTAGCCACCCAGCAGAGCTACCAGGCACCAGGCTGGTACTGGGGAGTGTCTGCAAAGAGTCATATGATGTGATCCATCTTCAGGTCTCTCAGCCATGGAGAAACCTCCTCCAGTGGAGGTAGCTGGGCAGTGAAGTGGACTCTGTGAGGGTCGTTGGTTGTATTTTTGATAAGTGCACTGGTTTTGTGTTGGTTGGTCTCCAGCCAGAAGGTGGCACTTTCAAGAATGCATCAGCTGCATTTCATAGGGAGGATACCAGTTTGCCCTAGGGTTGCCTTTGGATAAGTATTCAGGTTTCTCAGATGGTGGATAGGACCATAGAGCTCCCATAGAGCTATCTTTTGTCTTCAGCTACCAGGGTCGGTAGAGAAAGACCATCAGGTGGGGGCAGAGTTAGGCATGTCTGAGCTCAGACTCTTCTGGGATGGGGCTTGCTATGGCTGCTGTGGGGTTTGGGGGTGACCAATGGAGTTATGTTTCCAGTGCAATTATAGCTGCCTCTGCTGTGCCACACAGGTCACCAGGAAAGTGGGGGAAAGCCTCCAGCCACAGGCCTCACTCAGCTTCCCTGCAGCCTGCAGCCTGAAAGGCCAGTCTCACTTCCACGGTGCCCCACCAACAGCACTAAGTTTATCTCCAGGCAGCCTCTGGGCAGGTCTGAGAACTTGCCCCAGGCTACAAGCCTCTCAACTGAGAAAGCAAGCTGTCCCAGTTCCTCAGCTGTCCCACGGAGCCTGCAGCAGCAATCTACCTCTTTCAAAGGGCCCGTGGATTCTCTCAGCTTTCCTGGTGCGTTCCTATGGTGGTTCATGGAGCAAAAGTTCACAATGTGGGTCTCCACCTACTGTTGTGTCCAACCAAGTGGTTAGTCCTGCCTCTTATCTGCCGTTTTCCCTGAGTTTCTAAAATGTTTAATTGTAGTAAAAAACACATAAAATTTACCATTGTAACCATTTTTAAATAAACAGTTCAGTAGTGTTTATTCATATTGTTGTACAGCTAATCTCCAGAACTTTTTGATTGTCCAAAATTGAAACTCTATACCTAGTAAACAACAACACTCCTTTTGCCCTTTCCTAGCCCCAGCAACCATCATTTTATTAACACTTTCTGTTTTTGTGAGTTTGACTACTTTAGATATCTCATATAAGTAGAATCACAAAGTATTTGTCTTTTTGTGGCTGGTTTATTCCACTAGCATAATGCTACAGCTTGTGATAGGATTTCATTCCTTTTTAAGGCTGAATAAAATTATACAGGATATATAAACCCCATTTTGTTTATCCATCCATCTGTCGGTGGACACTCAGGTTGCTGCCTTCTTTTGGCTATTGTGAATATGCAGCTATGAATATGCATGTGCAAATATCTCTTCAAGACCCTGCTTCCAATTCTTTGGGATATACACCTAGAAGTGGAATTGTTGGATCATATGGTCATTCTATTTTTAATTTTTGAGGAAACGTTGCACTGATTTCCACAGCTGCTGCACCATTTCACATTTCCACCAACAGGGCACAAGAGTTCCCATCTCTCCACCTCCTCCCCCACGCTTGCTGTTTTCTGCCTTCTTGATAGTAACCATCCTAATGGCTGGGAGGTGATAAAAGGCAACTTAAAAAACAACAAAAAGCCCTCTCGGCCCTGCCTTCATCACCATGATCCATCTGTGGTTTCTTCTGGTGAGATCAGGCATAGGTAGACCCAGATAAATTGAGGCTGGAATATTTGCATTAGGATTATTATCATGGACACTGTCATGGTTATTACTGATATTTTAACATTTACTAACAAAGTTATGACTTAGGGCCTACCTCACAATGCCTCATCTAACCTGCTTTTCCTTTCATCTCCTATCTCATCTCAAATTTCCAGAAAAAAATCTATGGAAAATATTTAAATTTGACATTCTTAAAGAAAAGTACAGTTTTAGAACATTTTTCTAGTGAGTTAGGAAAAAATTTTAAACATAAGCCACAGAAAATGAATTAAATTCATTTTTGTTAGTTTTTTCAACAGAAATATAACATACTCCATTTACTTTGTTTTAAATATTAAATGGGAAACATAATAATTTTAAAATGCAAATAATAAAATTATTTTTATTTTATTTATGTTATTTATTTTATTTTATGACCCTTCTGCCTTCTGGTGTATGAAATGGAGCCTATCACCTTTCCGTGCCCTCTATAGTCACTTCTAAGTTGTTGGTACTGGAAACTGGGTAGTTAGTCAGTCAGATTAATGCAGGAATGGTGAGGGCTGAGGAGATGCAAGCGACACAGGGCTGCTGGAGATGAGCAGACGTGAATGAAGACAAGAATGAAGCGAGGGTTAATCCGCTTTGCATTGTTATAAAGGAATACCTGAGACGGGGTAATTTATAAGGAAAAAAGGTTTATTTTGGCTCATGGCTATACTGGCTGCACTAACATGGCACCAGCATCTGCTTGGCTTCTGGTGAGGCCTCAGAAAGCTTTTATTCACGGCAGAAGGCAAAGGAGGAGCAGGAGGGGCCACATGGTAAGAAACAGAGTAAGAAAGGAGAGGAGGTGCCAGTTTCTTTTAAACCACAGCTCTCATGTCAACTAACACAGTGAGAACTCACTCATTCCCATGAGGAGGATATCAAGCCATTCATGAGAAATCTGCTCCCATGACCCAAACATCAGGCCTCATCTCCAATATTGGGGATCACATTTCAACATGAGATTTGGAGGGGACAAACATTGAAACAACATCAGAGGGTGAACTGAGAGTGTTTAGCACAAGAAGGATGGAGCCAGTAGCCCAGAGAGAAGTGAGGAGGGATACTTGGAGGGCACTCCAGGATCCTGCAGGCTCAGCAGGAGCACGTGGGGAGGGGGAGCGCACCAGAGATACTGGCACAGAAAGAGGTGAAGGGCATACCACCACTGCCAAGGAAGTGTTGGTCAGTCAGTCCTCATGGTCGTTAATTGTCCTTTATTTCTATTACAGAAGTGTTGATCTTTACAGCAAAAGGTTGAAACCTTCAGGTCCGTAAGATACATACGTGAAGGCACACATGTGTTTAAGCAGTCCAATTCCGTGTGATTATAGAACCACCCGCCTGGAAGACAGGCATTCACATTTAGTGCCAGATTTAGTGCCAGAAACAATACTTGTACCTCAAAGTGGGGAGACCTTCCCCATCCATGCCACGTCTGGTCCCCGAACGCATTCACCACCCAGCAAGGCTCTCTCAGACTGGCTCACAGCATTACCTCTCTCAGCAAAAACGAAGAAATCCCTGGTTCTGCATCCAGAGCCACGGTTCACAGTGCAGTTGCCCTTGCCTATTAGACAATGGCCCCTCTTAAAAAGCTTGCACACCATGCACATTGTGGCATCACCTGTGGAAAATAAACGTGAAGGCTGTGCCCAGGGCTGAATGGGCTGAGACCAAGGTGGGGTAGGCCACTATTAGGGCCCAGGAGTTCAAGGGCATTAATAACCCTAAGAACATCTCCCAGCATAATCTTAGAAGGTGGAAATGTTCCCATCAGATTTTGTCCATTAGTTCCTTAAGGAGCTGGAGATTTGGTACAGTGACATAATTTTATTGAAAATAAAAGGGCCGGGCGCGGTGGCTCAAGCCTGTAATCCCAGCACTTTGGGAGGCCGAGGCGGGTGGATCACGAGGTCAGGAGATCGAGACTATCCTGGCTAACATGGTGAAACCCCGTCTCTACTAAAAATACAAAAAACTAGCCGGGCGTGGTGGCGGGCACCTGTAGTTCCAGCTACTTGGGAGGCTGAGGCGGGAGAATGGCGTGAACCCGGGAGGCGGAGCTTGCAGTGAGCCGAGATCACGCCACTGCACTCCAGCCTGGGAGACACAGTGAGACTCCGTCTCAAAAAAAAAAAAAAAAAAAAAAAAAAAAAAAGAAAAGAAAAGAAAAGGTATCCATTTTACAGTAGTGCCATTGTGCAGAGCACAATCAGAGCTTCTACATACAACTTCTCTGAGGTTGATGATCTCTTGGAAAATGAAAGAGGCATAAAGACTGTGCTGGCTTCAAGGAAGGGAGGCATTCTCCCAAAATTTCCCACCACACCCTGCTAAAGAGGTATCTGACATCCAAACATATCTAAGTGAAACTTGCCATGGAAAGATTGTACAGGATATTTGCTATGGAAACATTGGTTTAGGATGAGCCCTCCAGTGACTTCTACCTACCAGACCACTGTCCCTAGGTTGCTTCTATATAGAAAGCCTTGAGCAATCATTGGCTCTGCCACATAATCCCAGCCAGACAGCCTCAAAGCCCCGTGTTCAGAAGCACAGGCCAGCCTTGACTTTCCCAAGTGAGTGAGACCTCGGGAAGAGGCCTGACCTCTTGCCCTGGTAGGAGTTGAGGTGGGGACAGCAGAGAGACGCCTCCAGTTCTTGTTGGTCAGCTCATCCCAGAATCTTGGTGTTGACCTCCTCCCCTGCTGGCCAGACCATCATCTTCAGCCTGCTCCCCAGCTCTCCTCGCCCCTGTCCTCACCTCCTGCCCCCGCCAGCCCAGAGCTCACTCCCACCTTGGAAGAACACAAGAGGAGAAACCCCCAACAGCAGGAGCATGAGCAGGAACTTGTCCATCTCAGTCTAGGAGGCCAGAAAGACACAGCAGGTGGCTGGAACCAGGCAGCTAAGTGCTCAGGAAAGGCTAAGACAGGTTGCTTCAGTGCGCAGATGACAGCAGACTGGAGAGTCTGGACTGAGCTGCTCCCAGGCTGTGGGCAGAAGCTTCCTTTTACACACTCGCCAGTGGGTGTCTCACCACTGCCCAGGCTCTGGAAAGATTTCCACAGAGCCAGCCCCTTTGGAGCTGCCAAGAATAAAGGACATCCCTGAAGCCCCTCCTGTTCCTCATAGGTGAAGTCCAGGTCTGTCACTTTTCTTTTGACCCTCTCTGTGTTTGAGCTTATGGTCAGGACCACAGCCCTCCCATTACTGAACTGGTTTTGGCAATGCTGGGAGTAGTCACAATAGCAAATACTTATTCAGTATTATCTATATAGCAGGATCTGCATCTGCTATTACCATTCAATATCTCACTTAAGATATGTCTTGAGTCTATCATAAACACATCAAGTACACAGCAAATGCTATGTAAACAACAAAAGTAACAGAGGCCTTACAGGTGATAGATTATTTTGCAAAGTCAGAAACAATTCCTGCTACTTTTGATACCCTTATTTTTCAGTCGCTGAAACACAGAGGTATTGGAAGCAAGCTGGGTTCATGTAGATAGAGGCTCTCACTTACTGCTCTAGCACTAGGCTGGAAGGCTCAGAATTTCCACACACACTACCTGTAGGGCCTGGACTAGGGTGTGACAGGTAAGACACTTAGAGTACAAAATACTTTTCACTTTTTTTAAATTACAATTTTCTACTGATATTCTCTAAAGTGTCTTTAGCTGATTCATCATGCTTGATAAAAACAATCAAGCCTCTAGATACTCAGCACTCCTGAGATCTAGCCAAGGAGAGGAAGAGCATGGAACAAGACCAGGGTTATTCAGCTTCGGTGCTGGAGAAAATAATCCAGGTGGGAGTGGCAGGCTCTCTGCTCCATTAGACAACCCTTCATGGGTTGACCTTAACAGTCAGATCTTCAGTGAACCAGAACGCTCTGCACAGCATGTGCTGAGTGGGCAGAGCAGGCACTCAGAGGATATGTACTGGTAGGTAAAGGATGATACCACCTGTGAATTAATGCAGGATGGTCTGCTGGAGCAGAAAGCAGTGCTGGAGAGGAAGGGCCAAGAACCCCCACGCACCCAGAGACAGAGAGCCTGCCTGCTGTCTACACCTTGGGTGCACAGCTGGGATGCATGAGCGCTCCCCTTCCCCATCCAGGGAAGACAGGCTTGCACTGCAGCACTGGAGGAGTGGGGTGCATGAACAAGTGGTTCCATGTTGTACCCAGACCCCAAATTGACTCACTTTGCTGTGTTCCCCTATTACCAGGATGCTCAGCACGCCTCGCACACAGTGGCTGAGGAATGCCAGGGGCGCTCATGATTCCCAGTCGTACGTCACCCCGTCATAATTGTGCCAGAAAAGGAGCTGTGGATGGTGTAGAAAACAATGGAGATGGGATACAAACAAATTATTGCAGATTCCAAAGAATAAATTTCTTGGACGCATCAACTTACTAACACCTCTCTGTGATTTTTGCAGACTTAAAGAATGTGTTATTAACAAATATAACACAAAATGTGATTTTGGAAAAAAAAATATTATCAGCTGGAGAATACAGGAAGAGAGGTTGAGAAAAAGAAAATAAGGATCTGGTCAAATTTTCCAGTGGAAATTTATGCTTATTGAACATCCTAATGGTGTTTCTTCTGGAAAACATAGTGGTGGTTCCTTTCCAATGGAACAATTTAACCTGGTATATCTGCTCTGTCCTGGCTGTTCGTTGTAAAATAAAATCCTGGGTTTATGCATTTCTGGGAGTTGGTTCCACTAGGAAACGTTTATGACAGCTATTGCATAAGAACATACATGGAGATGTTCAAAGACCAAAATTAGTTCCACTTATATATTAAATTTACCCTGAGAATCATGTGGGGCTGCGTCCCAGATTCACCAAGTTGGCAGAGACTTAGCTGTTCATCCTAATTCTTGCCTCTGTCCATGCTTCATGATTAAGCCCCTTTACCACCCCAAAGTGTCTCAGTCCCCAGGGTTTATCACAGGACCAACCTACTCAGAGGTCGCCAGGCACAATCTCTCTCCCACTGCAGGAACCCCCTCCTCTGACCACACCAGACAGGGAATGTCCAGACCCACCACAAGCTTCCAGGCCCACGCCAACCCCCACCGTATCTTCCGGTGATGTGTCTACAGTGAGACTCACAAGAGGAGTGCCCTGGCCAGAACACAAACTCCAGAATCTGACATGTCTGGATTTGAAGACTGGTGCCAGCTTTTTAAAATTTTGAGGCCCTGCCAGGTTACCTTATCAAGGAAAGAAGATAATAACAGTTCTTAAGTCCTAGAATGGATGTAAGGAAAAAATAAACAAATATCTACACTGAAAATTAGGTTCTTAGCACAATATCTAACACAGTATAGTAATATAAGTCTTGGCTCCATTATTTGCATATGTTTCTTCCATTTCATTGCTGACAATATGAATTCCACTTAAGGAAAGTTGGATTTAATGTTGGAACTGGGAGGCACCACAGCTGACATGCAGTGACACCTGTTCTCTCTGCCTGTGCAGTTAGGCCCAGTCCGCAGTCCTAACTTCACCCCAACACACACACACACACACACACACACACACGCACACACGTGCGCGCGTGACAAATGCCTCCTTCCCCAGAGACATTTGTCCCCCACCCCAATGTTACACAAGGAGCATCGCTGTCTTTGCCCAAAGGCAAGTCAGGCCCCAGAGCTGCCATCTCCCACCACAGATTCCCTTCTCTCACTCCAGCCCAAGGACAAATCATAGCAGCCACAAAAAAGGGGTGGGGGATGCTACTTCGCAAGGGAATGAATGGGCTGCCCTCACCACTGGCCTTCCATCCACTCCCAAATTGCTGCCCTGGCTGTGCATCCCTTACGATATGTTCTCATGGGGACTTGGTGTCATCCTCCTCCTCAGTTATGCACACAGTATATTTGGATGGAAGAGCTGCTGATTCTGGAACCATCAGTATAAATCACCTGCATGCAGGTTATGACATCTGTCTGGCTTGTTCCACCCACTCCATGAGCACAATCCACCACTTTCACTCCCCCTACCACTGCCTGGACCTCCACCACGCACACCACCACTAACCACTCTACCGTGTTTCCCTGTGTCCTCTTGTCTGCACTGCTCAGAAGCCAGGATAGTGGGAGGTGGGTTCAGCACATGGATGAGTGATGTAGACAGCAGGGAAGGATATGAATCTAGGGCAGAAAGCACTGGAAAAATCCAGACTCCAAGTCTTTGTGTCAGTTTCTCAGGTGACATCAGTGTACGGTTTCAAGGCCAAGCAGCCAGATCCCTCCACAGTGTCCCTCCCTCTATCCCTTTTGGCATCACCCTATGCTCCATGACCATCCCACACGTACAGGCCCTGCGCTGGGGAACACTCCCAGGAGCCCAGCTGATAGAGGGAATTTCCAGGCAGCCCTGTTCACCCCCAGGAGCAGGGAGCAGTGCCGGAGCGTTCCTGTCTATCACAGCACTGAGAATTGAGCTGCTCTGCCCATGCGTGGTCCCGTCACCTACCAGTGTTGGGTGAGGCTAAAGCTGGGCCATGGAGCTGGTCTCCTGCTGGGAAGACCTCATTTCCTGAGGGTGATAAACACGATGCTGGTGCTGGTGGCTCTGCTCTGGGTGGATAAGGAGATCTCTTACTGTCCAACCCACTCCATCCCAGAGCTGTTGTGATCTACAAGAGTTTGATGACAGTCAAGAAGATGGGCTGGTGTTATTGCTTTGACTCCTCAGAAATTTGGGACCAATCCAGGACCCACATTTCCACACAAATCCTAACTTTTGACTACCCAAGAAAGAGTTGTTATTTAAAATAAACCCACTGCATGTTATTATATTGTATAAAATACATGCTGAAAAATGCATAGATAGATAGACAGGGAGAGAAAGAGAGAGAGAGGACTAGGCCATGGTTGCCTAAAACGAAAGCAGAAGCATAAGCCATGCACCAAAGAAATAGATAAATTGGACATGATCAAAATTTAAGATGTTTTGCTTCAAAGGCATCATCAAGAAAGTAAAAAGACAATCTAAGAATGGAAGAAAATGTCTTCAAAATCATATATCTGATACAGGACTTGTATCTAGAATACATTATGAAAAATTTTCATTATTCAACAATTTAAAGCACAATTAAAATGGGCAAAGAGTTTGAACAGACATTTATCCAAAGAATATACAAGAATGGCCAAAAAGCACGTGAAATAATGCTCAATATCATTAGCCACCAGAGATTTGCATATATATATATACACACACATATATATGTGTGTGTGTGTGTGTGTGTGTGTATATATATATATATATATATATTTTTTTTTTTCCTGAGATGGAGTCTCGCTGTGTTGCCCAGGCTGGAATGCAGTGGCATGATCTTGACTCACTGCAACACCCGCCTCCAGGGTTCAAGCGATTCTCCTGCCTCAGCCTCCCAGAGAAATGCATATTAAAACCCCAATGAGACACCACTTCACACCCACTAGGATGGCTATTACAAAAAATACAGGTAATAACAATGGTTAGCCAGGATGCGGAAACATTGAAACCCTCAGGCACTGCTGGTGAGAATGTAAAATGTTGCAGCCACTTTTAAAAACAGTCTGGACATTCCTCAGAAAACGTTAAAGAGTTACCAAATGACTTCGCAATTACACTCCTAGCTATACATGCAAGATACAGGAAAACTTTTGTCCAAGATCTTGCTTTCTTCAACTGACCAAGAACCTTAATTCAGATTCTTTTCTATAGATTCTCTTACATGATTCTGTATAAATTCTCCTCTATGAGGCAGAGAGAGGCCCCAAAAGGCAATTCATTCATTCCTTCATTCAGGAAAAGCTTAGCAGGCATGCTGCTAGGTACTAGGACTACAACAATAATCAAGACAGGGTCTCTGCCTTTAAGCTTAGAGTCCAATGCGGGGTACAAACACGAAACAAATAATTATAACAGTGATAAAGTGTTAATCCAAACTGCATCACTTTGTAACTCCCCGCCCCACCACCATTTTGCAGACCTTGGCTAAAGGGAAGCATTCCACGGGGGTTTGGGCCCTTAGAAACAGCCTGTTCAATTGCCTGCCTGACTTTATCACCTTCTGCTGGGAAAAAGTCCAAGGAACATCGCCTCATATTCTGTGGGAACAAGGGCCAAACTGCCTCATTATGGGAACATCTTACCAACATCTTCCCGGGCAGCAAGCCATATTGCCCAGACCCATCCTGCTTATACCTACAAGTACCCCAGCCTGTAAGAAGCGGTGGGCACTGGCATTAAGCTAGTCCCCCACCTCTGTAGGTCTTATGCTAGACAGAAAGCCTGGATTTGATGTAGAGCTGCCACTCTCTCTTTCTTTAACCCTCACCTTCCTTTCAAAATGTAACAATAAGTACATCTATTCTAGATTTAGCATTCAGTGGTATATAAAACAAAGTTGTCCAAGAGAGCTGGGCAGAGAAGTGGCAAGAAATGGAAGCTACCAGATCTTTGAAACTCGATCCCCCATGAGTTCTAGTTTTATACCAAGTGGATGCCTCACTGCATCCATCTTCTCAGCTTGGTCACCGGTTTGGTAGAAGTTGCAGCTCGAAACACAGCTTTCTACTGTCTCTTGACTTCTTTACTCTGCCTGTATCTGTGTAAACTCTCCTCAGTTACCCATTTGAGTTTGCCACCTGTTTCCTGCTAAAACCATGGCTGATAAAGGTCTGTATGAAAAGACTATTTACAGAAGTGGACAAGGTTAAGGAAACAAAAAAAAAAGAGGGAAGTTTGGGCATCCAGGTCTTAGCAACAGCAGGAAACCATTATCATCCCTAGGCCTAAGAGGGCAGGGGGAGAAAAACATATTACTATAGCATGGATGAGAGCTGGAGCCATGGAAGAGAGGACACCCAACAGAAGCTGTCATGTAGTCTCAGCCAGTGTCAACTGTGGCAGGAAGGGAATAGGAAGAACAAATATTCCAATCTCTCTCTCTTTCTCCCCATTCCTCCCTTCCCTCTTCCTCTCCCTCTTTCTTCTCCCCTCCAGTCCTGTATAAACCCAATCTGAAGCCGAATTCAGCTAGCATTCAGGTGATAAAGTCAACAGAGGTCAGCCTTCCAGGGTACAGATCAGAGCCAAGGAAGGCTGATTTAGAAAGCCAAACAGAAAATAATCAACAATCACACTTCATCATCAAAATCACTTTTAAAGAGAGTAGATATCTTTTAAACTTTATTACAAAAAAAAATGCTTTTTGGTAATACTTTTTTTTTTTTTTTAAAGACAGGGCACATAGCCCCAACACACCACCCTGCACACAGAAAATACTCATTGGTCTTCACTAGTGAAATAACCAATGGATTGCTAAGGGCCAACTTGCCTGAACAGGCTACACAAGAATCTCAGAGCCCAACCCATTGTGAAGAAACATGGGCTACTTCTGAGGTTCTAGAATTCCCAGAAGCTCTGCTTCAGCACGGGGAGCTTTTGCTCGCAGTTTGCTTCATAGCTCTGTGAAGAAGCTGTGGCCCACACTAGGATCCCCTCTTTTCCTAAACCGAGATGAACATGTTTCTCTTACTAATGAGTCTTTATCTCCTTGGATCTGCCAGAGGTGAGTGTTCGATCTAGGCTTCAGGTAAATACAAAAGGGGTCTCCCTTAAGACATTTCAGGCCTTGAAGAAGGAAGACTAGTCTCTCAGTCATCCAAACCAATCTGAGTCAGAATCAAGAGCAGCTAAACAAGTCCAACTCTGAGAGCTCCTGAACCAGCTGATTTCTCTAGTCACAGCTTTACAGTCAGAGGGTCCCACTGGCCTGGCACAGTCTTGTTTCTACTTATTTTAGCCACTCAACATTTATACCTGATGCTGCATGAGACAAAAGAATAGGCTTAGGGGTTCTGAAGAAGCCCAATGAAGGTCTGTCCCACCAATTAAATGTGAGGGATCCTTGTGTGGTTAATGTGCCAAGGAAAGACAGAGATGGGAAGATGCGATGTGTTCAGAAAACAATCTCAGAACACGACAGAGCTATAGGCCAGAGACTTCATAAGCCTCTTCTTCATGGCTGTGTTCTATCAATCCAGTTTTCTGTATCACCTCTTCTTTCGGGATCCCCCATTCATGGTGTGCTATGTTCCCTCCTGCCTCCTACAGAAGAAAGAGGCCATGAGCTCTGGGCTTTTAGTGAAATAACAATGTATTTTCTATAATGATGAGTGTCAGAGGTTTTGCTTTTTGCTTTGTTAGACCTTCAAAAATTGACTCAAAAACGTAGATACACAGCTACCAGGTGATAGTATGTGCCAGTCACATGGTGACACAAGACATAAACTATAAGATCAAGAAATTAGCATGATTTTTCATGCTCCTTCCTATATCAGAAACGCTTTATCAAAACTTTTGTTAATTATTGAAAAATCAGTCAAGTAGACAGCATTTATGTGATAAGTTTAAAAAATAAAAACCTCCTAAAAGCTTTACTAAATCTTACCTTTCCTTTATCAACATATTCTCACCCTAGTCATTTAGAATGTCATTGATTATAAGTACTGCACTGTGCCAAGAAAAATGTATCTATCCCAAGATTCTTAGAGTTTGAGTACTCTGGGGTTTTAGACTACCTCAGCCTCAAAGATCCAGTAATTCCTCTCAGCTTTTGGCTAGAATTAAATAACTTGGTTGTTGTAGTCTACTTGTCTACTCTAGGTGGCTCAGTTTAATTGAAGAATGATAATCAAATTACCTGTTTGCTGCTTCTGTTCACTTAAAATACACTTAAGGAATATTTGTCTGACAGTCAATGATGAGAGACACGGTGGTTCATGCCTTGATCCCAGCACTTTGGGAGGCTGAGGCGGGTGGATCACTTGAGGTCAGGAGTTCGAGACCAGCCTGGCCAACATGGCGAGACCCCGTCTCTACTAAAAATACAAAAATTAGCCAGGCGTGGTGGCGTGCACCTGTAATCCCAGCTACTTGGGAGGCTGAGGCAGGAGAATCACTTGAACCTGGGAGGCAGAGGTTGCACTGAGCCGAGATCATGGCACTGTATTCCAGCCTGGGCAACAGAGCAAGACTCTTATCTTTGAAACGAAAAAACAAAAAACAAAAAAAAGAGACGGATTAAAGGTAGAAGAAACTGGCCAGAAAAAAATAACCATCTAAGAGTTCTGTAATTCTCAGTGTGCGGTGGGAAGAAAAGAAAAATAAAATTCATCGAGTATTAGGCAATGGTGCACTTCACAATTAATTTATCTTATTAAGTACTCAGGACAACTCCATGAAGTGAATGTAAATGGTATGTCACAAGGATACAATTCATACATATGTGTGTCTATATATGTATATAAATAAAATACGCCTAGATTTTTTTTATCTTAATAGCTTATAGCAACTTTGCCCTCTGAATCCCCAACCTACATGGCTTGGGGAGTGAGTGTGAGAAAAAACTTGACATTACCAAATACAGGTGACTTAATCCCATCTGATAATTTTTGTGGGCTCATACTTGTCATCTTCTAAAGTTTACCCTGTTCAAAGGTTAACTCCTCCACCCTTAATTTAGGTTACAGATACTCAGGTATTGAAAACTACTTGCTTTCTCTCTCCCTCTTCTATCTCCACTCTTGTCTTTCACCCGTAAAGGAATGAGAGGGAGGGTTGGTGGTGAACTTCTGATTCCATCAGTGATGTTACCTTGACTTCCTGATGCTGACTTTGTCAGGGAGCCACATTCATTTTCCTTCAGGTGCTTTTGGTACAGGGATGAGTGGATTCTCCTACGTAGTTCTTAATATTGGGGAACTTAAGATTCTTCCCTTCAATCCCAGAGGTGGCCTCTTTGTGTTTCACTAAACACTTCTGTCCTCCATGGCCTTTTGGGGTACTTAGTTGATTTCTCCCAACATCTGCAGTCTTCAGGTGCCTGATCTAGGCCCATAGGAAACCTAGGAGTCTCATAACATTAGCCTAACTTCATAGGAAGATAGTCTTTATCCCAGTGTCTCTCTCAGCTTCACCATCTCTCTTCTGTTCCTTCTCCATCCCAGGAACATCAGGTCAGTCTGATGAGTCTTCTGGCTCCATAGATCATCAAACTTCAGTTCAGCAGCTTTCAGGTGAGTTCTTTCCACTTGAAAACCCTTCTGATGCTGAGGCTTTATATGAGACTGCTTCAGGCCTGAACACTTTAAGTGAGCATGGTTCCAGTGAGCATGGTTCGAGAGAGCACACTGTGGCTGAGCACACTCCTGGAGAACCTGCCGAGAGCGAGCATGCTTCGGGTGAGCCTGCTGCGACTGGACATGCAGAAGGTGAGCACACTGTAGGTGAGCAGCCTTCAGGAGAACAGCCTTCCGGTGAACACCTCTCCGGTGAACAGTCTTTGGGTGAGCATGCATCAGGTGAACAGCCTTCAGATGAACAGCTTTCAGGTGAACATGCCTCCGGTGAACAGCCTTCTGGTGAGCACGCCTCAGGTGAACAGCCTTCGGGTGAACAGCCTTCAGGTGAGCACGCTTCAGGTGAACAGTCTTTGGGTGAGCATGCTTTGAGTGAAAAGCCTTCAGGGGAACAGCCTCCAGGTGCACCAATTTCAAGCATATCTACAGGTGAGCCACGTTGGGATGGGTGCCAGTCATTGACTTAAGGTGGGAAATGGGGAACACATCAAGAAAACCCAATTTTAGGGAAGGAGTGCAGAAGAAAGAATTGTTAACACTTCACAAATAGCTCTCTCGAAGACTCTCTAGGTTTCTTCACAATCATACCAAGAGGCAGGATCTAAGTTTTGTGGGAGCCTGAAAGTTAAACGATATGGAGGGCCCTCTATAAGAAAAATAAAACAAATACAAAATGCCAGTACCCCTCCAACTTCACTCTCCATAAGAAATTATGAATACACAGCCCTTCCAACTTCCCTGGAAGGGGCTCACGAAAGCGCGGAGTTCTGAAGACTAACCTTCATTAGCTTTATGCTAACCCTGCCTCTTAAACCATGCTAGAATGCTATAACTTTACAAATTCGGTAAAGAGATGTGTGCAGCTGGTGGTTCTTTTTGTTTGAACTTGGAATGTAAAGCTATTTTCTGTTAGATCCCGAAATGAGTTCCTAGGACAACTGCTAGTCTGTTGCTCTTAATTAAAAGGGTTTGTTCTGGGAAAGAAAACAAGACCTAAAGTTTGATGCCTCAAGTTATTACCAGACATAGTTCACATTTCACTCTATTGTATACATATCATTATTCTAAATTTTCAGATGAAAGAAGTGAGGCAAATGTAATATGTCCAATGTCACATGGCTAGAAAGTGGCACACCTTGGATTCAAACTTAAGACTGTGCAAAGCCCATCATCTTTCCCCTTCTTTATGCTTCCCAAACTGGGGGATTAGCAGTAGAGATGGTAAAAGAGACAACATGGGACGTATTTCAAAGAGTGTGCCGTTAGTGACATTCAGTAAGGTCAATTTGAAAACGGAGAAGGACGCAGACTCTTCACGGGGTTTGCAATGTTAGAGCATTCTAACATAGCTTATTAATCGGTCAACTATGACTCCAAGTGTTTGTGCCTTGTGGGTGAGAGTATGGTGGGGAGTACAAAAGGGAGATGAAAATCACACATAGGTTTTACTCCTACGGTGTCACATGACAGAGGGCATCTAACGATAAATGCCCAGGAAGTCAATGTGGATATGGACTGAGGTAAAAATATTAGAGAGAGACATTTGGGATTCATCAGCAATGAGGGTCAGAGATGAAGAAGTAAGAATGACGGAATTTTCTCTGGCACAGGTCTATCAGACACAGGGCCCTTAGATCCCCAACAAGAACTAAGAAATAAATGTGTAGTATCATGCCACCTATTGCCCATTACCCCTCCCAGATGTGAATCACGGCTACACATCTGGTCCACAAGGAAATGTCATCAGGCTTATCTTAAATTTTCAGGCACAATATTAAATTGCTACACATGTGCTTATATGAATGATCAAGGAAGATGTCTTCGTGGAGAGGGAACCTGCATCACTCAGAATTCCCAGCAATGCATGTTAAAGAAGATCTTCGAAGGTATATGGGGACTTCATGAGGCAATCTCTGCCTAAGAACACATCAACTTACTTCTGATAGGGGGCAGTTGGAGTGACAGGGGCCCAGGAAAGAATCAAGGAACCTGAAGATTCAGAACTTTATTTTTTCAAGGACTAAGAACAGAATCCCTTGCTGGGCGAGGTGGCTCATGCCTATAATCCCAGCACTTTGGGGGGCCAAGGTGGGAGGATCACTTGAGGTCAGAAGTTCCAGACCAGCCTGGCCAACATGGTAAAACCCCATCTCTACTAAAAATACAAAAACTAGCCAGGCGTGGTGGTGGGCACCTGTAATCCCAGCTAGTTGGGAGGCTGAGGCAGGAGAATTGCTTGAACCCAGGAGGCGGAGGTTGCAGTGAGCCGAGATCATGCCATTGCACTCCAGCCTGGGAGACAAGAGTGAAACTCCAACTAAAAAAAACTAAAGAAAGAAAATAAAGAATAGAATCCCAGGTTGAGATGAAGAGATACATGCCCTTCCCATTAGGCCTAAGAGAAGGCAGGGAGACTAGCTGTCTCTTCCTATTAAAGCAATGTGTCGATTGCTCCATGAGCCATTGAGACACTGACTGTAAGCTACAGCTATATATTCCCGGGACCGAGCACAATGTAAAGTATATGGCAGGCATTTAGTAAATACTGAATGGATAAACAAATAAACAACTGTCTACAAGTCTGTGTTCACAGGTTACCAGACCTGTTCGAGTATATTCCCACACCTCTCCACCCGTATTCTCAGTTCCTCATCCCTAAAATAAGGGATCCTGGTTATTTCCATCCCAGGAACCACACTGCCTGACTCCTCTTGTAGCTTTTCTTCTCCCTCACTAGAAATGTCATTTCCCCATTTCTACACGCATGCATTCATCCACCATCACTCAGAAAACATTAATGACATGTACCATGAGCCCCTACAGAAAGATGACTCAAATATAGACTGTGTACAAAGAGATTATTATGTTATAATGTAAGAAATAAGAAATAATATCACAAGGGAGAAAATGGTGTCTTAAGAAAGGCACGTATAAAGTGCAGAGAGTTCAGGGAAAGGAAAGATTAGAGGTGTAGAGAAGTATGGGGAGAAGGTGGTATTCAGAAAAGGCTTTGAGGGAACATTTACGATTTGGGCCAGTAGTCCTCAATCAATCAACCTAGAGGTGTAGAGAAGTATGGGGAGAAGGTGGTATTCAGAAAAGGCTTTGAGGGAACATTTACGATTTGGGCCAGTAGTCCTCAATCAATCAACCTAGAGGTGTAGAGAAGTATGGGGAGAAGGTGGTATTCAGAAAAGGCTTTGAGGGAACATTTACGATTTGGGCCAGTAGTCCTCAATCTTGTTTGCACAGTACAATCACCTGAGCAGCTTTTAAAAAATCCTAATATTTAGGCTACACCAAAGCAATTAAACCAGAATCTCTGGGGATAGAATCCAGGCATCAGTATTTTTTAAAAGGCTCCTAGACAATTCCGATGTGCAGTCAAGATTAAAGAGATACTGATTTAGTCATACAGCAATGGTTGATGGGTATTCCAGAGACAGGGAATTATGAAAGCAAAAGTCAGAAAAGTGCAGGATGTAAATAGGAAAAAGAACAAAGAATTTTTCGAGGATGGTGAGCAGAGACATAGAAGATAAACTTGGAAAAGTTGACTGGAGCCAGTTGATACAAGAGCTTCAGTGTCAGTTAAAAAGAGTTTGAATTTAACAGTTCTCCTTTATTTATTGCTCCCAGACAGTATGATATACATTTTAAAATACACTTTCTCATTTAATCCTCACAAGGTAGGAATTTTTTATTTCTGTTAACAGAAAGGGAACAAATTTAGAAAAGAGAAACAGCTTGTCTAGACATGTTACTAGGACTAGGCAGAGCCAATAGCCCATCCAGGTTGGTCAAAACGCTTCTTCAGGAAGATTACCTTAGAAGCAAGTTACAGTGGACACAAGAGAACCTGTTAAAGGGCTATTGTAATGTTTCAGTAAAAGGTAATAGGAGTGACTGATGGAAAGACGTATTAACATCTCTCCCATGTCTTTTCACTCATTCTGCATTCCTGTTTACACTCTACACTTACTCCAGCTACGCAAGTCACCATTTCCTTAACAGTTTCATGTTTTCATGTTTTTTCTCCAATTATGCTTCAGCCTGAAATTATCCTCTTTCCCTTCTATACTAATCAAAATGCTACCAGTTCTTCATAGCTTAGTTCAGTATCACTTCCTTCCTAAGAATTTCCTTGATAATATGCCCCCCTTAATCAAAATACCAAAATTAATCACTTATTTGCCAGCATAGCATATAACATGGTTTTTCCATTTCATGTCATAATTGGCTATTTTTTTTTAAATCTCTCTCAGCTCTTGACATCAAATGATGTTATTAATCTTTGCATTCTCCAGAGTCTAGCATAGTTCCTTACTAGGTCCCTTAATTTTTTTTTTTTTTTTTTTTTGAGATGGAGTCTTGCTGTTTGCTCAGCCTGGAGTGCAGTGGCATGATCTCAGCTCGCTGCAACCTCTGCCCCCAAGGCTCAAGCAATTCTCCTGCCTTACCCTCCTGAGTAGCTGGGATCACAGGCACCTGCCACTAAGGCCGGCGAATTTCTGCAGTTTTAGTAGAGACAGTGTTTCACCATGTTGGCCAGGCTGGTCTCGAACTCCTGGCCTCAAGTGATCCACCCACCATGGCCTCCCAAAGTGCTGGGATTACAGGTATAAGCCACCACTCCCGGCCAAATGTTTGATAAATGGAAACTGAGTGACAGAAACAACCTAGATTACAAGTAGAACTGACAGAACTTCACAACAAATTGGATGGAAAAAGCAAAGGGAAGAATCAGAGATGACAGAGGTTTTGAAGGAGTGGTATAGAAAGTATATAAAGGAAACTCACAAGAACAAGCAGGTTTGGGGAGGAAGGTAATGAGTTTCATTTTGGGCGCAGTAAGTTTTAGATGCCCTTAACATATTGGCATGGAGGTGATCATCAGTTAGCTGGTAATGTGAGAATTCAACTTGGGAGAGCAGAAATAATTGGATCCAGAGGAGTAGATGAGCAGTGGGGAAGACCTCGTCAGGAGCAGAGAGTATCAAGAAGGGATATAGTTTCAGGCCAGGTGCAGTGGCTCACGCCTGTAATCCCAGCACTTTGGGAGGCCAAGGCAGGTGGATCACAAGGTCAGCAGTTCGAGATCAGCCTGACTAACATGGTGAAACCCTGTCTCTACTAAAAATACAAAAATTAGCCAGGTGTGGTGGTGCGCCTGTAGTCCCAGCTACTCAGGAGGCTGAGGCAGGAGGATCACTTGAACCCCGGAGGCAGAGGTTGCAGTGAGCCGAGATTGCATGACTGCACTCCAGCCTGGGCGACAGAACGAGACTGTCTAAAAAAAAAAAAAAAAAACGAAACACGGTGTAGTCTACACTATGATATGCAAGCAAAGAAGTTAAAAAAAGTCCTGAGAAAAGGCTGCAGAATTTGATGAATAGATCTCTATGACCTTTGAGAGAGAAGTTTCAGCATAGTAGGGTCATGATTCCGGGTGTGAGGGGCCAAGGTGAAGGGATAGGCAGACTCTGGGAAGGCTGTAGTGAAAGGAAGGATAGTGCTAGGAGAGTAGCACAATTAAGAGAAAGTATTTTAAATTTGTATCCTTGTAAACCAAAAGGAGTCCATTGAAAGAGACTGATAAGAAAGGAGTGGGCAACTGATGGGGGGCAAGGTCCCAGAGGAAGCAAAGAGAAGAGGAGAAGGGATAATGTACAAGTGGAGGTCTTGGCCATCCTGCATGGAGACACTGAGCATCACAGATAAAGGCTAAGGTTGGAAGACAAAGAGGACAGTTTTCTGCTCACTAGTCTGTCTCTGTTCCTTTCAGGTGGAAAACTCCAATTCATGGTTCAAGGGTGTGAGAACATGTGCCCATCTATGAACCTCTTCTCCCATGGAACCAGGATGCAAATTATATGCTGTCGGAATCAATCTTTCTGTAATAAGATCTAGAAGCCTGGGCCTTTGCTTGTTTTGACTCAGGCAGTAAAAAGTCTCTATCATTCTATTTGGCTCATTTTATATTTAGTTCCTTCCCCAGTCAACAACTGACCACATCTGCCTCTGCCTGAGAATTAGGATGCTCAAACATCCTATCTTTCTTCTTCTATTCATGCTTTTATCCATTCTTCTCTGTCCTATCTTCCCTGCTCCAACTCTATCTCTCAATATTCCTGATTTTTTTTTTCAATAAACTTCACATCGTTAAAGCACACAGGCTCAAGATAGACTTTTTTTTCTCCATTAATCTAGTAGTAGGGTCAACATGCAGCTTCCTTCCACGCTGACACTAAAGTGGGTGCATTTTGTAAGCATTCTATATTTATGAAAGTAAAGGAGTCTCCAAGGACAGAGACAACAAAGAGGAATGCAAAGTAGGTATTAATCTTTTACAGGGTGTAAACAACGTTGCAGGTACTTCTGACACCCCTACTTTTCCATCCCTACACACTCTTCCATTTATTATGGCATACAAAAAGTCAACACTTCTCTGGCTCTTGAGAGTTTCCAGTCTTCAGTAGTCCACTACTAACATAGTAATAGTACAATGATTCCTTATTTGCTATATATTATAGCAGTTCATAATGCTTAATTAATTTTTTTCACACACAATGTTACTGAATCATCTATTCAGGACAGGAAGGCAAATGGAAATACTAAACCGTCCCTCACTCATATAAGTGTTATGTTCTTCAAGGTGTTTTCACATACATGGTCTCATCTGATCCTCAGGAAAGAGCCCAAAGGGGTAGACAGCAAAGATGGCATCATCCTTTTTTACAAATAAGGGAATGTGACACAGAGATGTTTCCTTTATTCATACTCCCTGTTGTTCCAAATTTACCAAGGTTACAGAGCTAGAGAGAGTTATAGGCAGATTCCACAACCAAATCTGCATGACCTAAATCTAAGCCGTCTCCACCACAATGAAAGTAGCCAGAATGGTTCTAAGAACTCTTAGAACAGTACAACAAGAAGTCAAGTCAATTTTACCATATATAAAATTTAAAATTTTAACATATATACACATCATGACCCCTTCCCAAAAATATACTGGTAACAAGCTCTTCACTGGCAATAATGGTAAAATGGAAGAAAATGGAACATCTTCAAACTTCCGAATGAAAATTATTTTGAACTTATACCCATATCCCTAGATAAAATAGTATAGAAAAATAAAATCCCCAAACCAGGAACTAAAATCCCAAATGAATTTTCAACTTGGCCAGAAGGGAAATGAAAGCTTGCCAACATCGTCAACACTAATTTCTCTTCCTTTGAAGGGAGAAGATAATAGTCTATTAGGTATAGGTGATGAGAGAAAAATGTAAGTTCAAACATGTTGTTAAAATTTAAGGAGCCAGGCATGATGGCTCACATCTGTAATCCCAGTACTTTGGGAGGGTGAGGCAGAAAATCATTTGAGATCAGCTTGGGCAACACAGCAAGACCCCATCTCTATAAAAAGTTTAAAAATTAGCTGAGTATGATGGTTCATGTCTATAGGCCTACCTACTTGGGAGGCTGAGGTGGGATAATCACTTGAGCCCAGGAGTTCAAATACAGCCTGGGCAACACAGTGAGACTCATCTTAAAAAAAATTTAAGGGTAGGAAAATTCTGGCTTCCATTTATAGTGGAATAATTTGAAGTAACCCTCTCACAGATAACAATTATAAGTTCTGGACAAAACATAAAAAAATGATTTGAAAGCTCCTCCAAACCACTAAAAAGAGAAGATGTGTGAGCTTATGCTTGAGGTTACTTCTCAATCCATGCATCACAGGCTGGCAAAAAGCCACTGGTTTGAGGTTTCAGAGAACATAGGTTGGGGCTAGCAGAGCAGCTGCAAAATTAGGGGGTACTCCCGAAAAGAAGACAGCCACAGAGAAGCCTCTAAATGTGAGGATAACCTCTGACCAAATTCTTGTCTGGTCACTGACTCCAAGAGGCTCAAAAACAATAACATCAGGGCCGGGCGCGGTGGCTCACGCCTGTAATCCCAGCACTTTGGGAGGCTGAGGCAGGCGGATCATGAAGTCAGGAGATCAAGACCATCCCGGCTAACATGGTGAAACCCTGTCTCTACTAAAAATACATTAAAAAAAAAAAAATTAGCTGGGCGAGGTGGCGGACACCTGTAGTCCCAGCTACTTGGGAGGTTGAGGCAGGAGAATGGCATGAACCCGGGAGGTGGAGCTTGCAGTGAGCCAAGATCATGCCACTGCACTGCAGCCTGGGCGACAGAGCGAGACTCGTCTCAAAAAAAAAAAAAAAAAAAAATCTGAAAGCTGAAAAACAGGGCAGAGATTTTAGCTTCTGTCCACATTAAGGAGACAGACCTAATGGACAAAAGTCAGTACTCTTCAGAGGACATAAAGAGCTCAAAATCTTCTACAATTCCTCATTACTATGTCTACTATGTAATAAAAATTTGTGTATACTAGAAAAAGCAGGAATTGTGACCCATAGCCAAGAAGAAAAAGCAGTCTATAGACCTTAACCCCAAATGAATCACAGGTATTGGAATAAATGAACAAAGGCAATAAACAGCTTATTACATTCAAGAATGTAAAGGAAAATATGTCATAGAATAACAGGCAGATGAATCTTAACATAGAGTACTGAAACTATAAAAAATGAATAAAATGGA